ATAAATAAATATGCATGGCTACATTCCAGTAAAATTTCATTTACAAAAAATAAATGGCAGCTGGATTTGGTCTCCCAGCCTCTGATTTAGGAGACAGAACTGGGTAACTGTAATTTCAAGTGTCCTGAGTATAATCATATTATTTGCATTGCTGACTTCTGTTTATATTTTTTCTATAATTTTCCTAGTATTTTAAAATATAGCTTTCATTTATCTTCACAGAAACTGTGAAGTAGTAATAACAGCCATGTTTTTTTGAGTGCGTATTATGTGCTAGACACTGTCCTAAGTGATTTGCAGGCACCATGGAAGGCAGCAAGAATTAACGTGCACTCAGGCTCTGGATCCAGATGCTTGGGAGTTGAATCCTAGCTGGATGACCTGGGCAAGTAAACTCTCTTGGCCTCAGTTTCTCATCTGTAAATGCTTTTATTCTTGTAAAGTTCTTAAAGGCACATCTGGCATATAATAAGTGTTCAAAAAATGTTAGCTAGCTCAATTAACCTTCATAATTACCTGAAAGAGAGTTACCATTATTTCCAATTTACAGATACGAAAACTGAGGTACGGAAAAGGGCGCCCATTTCCCAAAGTCATCAGGGTGCTGCTCGTCAGGGGCATGAAGGAAGTCTGTGTGACTCTAAAGCCTTTGTTCTGTTAGGGCCACATATCACTTCCTCCTAAGGGTGATCGTCACCTTCATTCTGCGGAGGAGGAAACTGAGGATCAGAGAGAAAACGTGTTTGCCTGAGCATCGATGGCAAGTAAGCAAGAGTCAGGACTCCCTTCCTAATCTTTGATTCCTGGTCCAGCTCTGTGACCAAAACCCTGAGTCCTTTTTCAGAGATATTAAAGCCAGGGTCTATGCTTTGGGAAGCTGAGGCAGGAGGGTCACTGTAGGCCGGGAGTTCACAGACAGGGTGGGCAACATAGTGAGACACTGTCTCTACATCAACAACAACAGCAATAAATAATTAGCCAGGCATGGTGGTGCAAGCCTGTAGTCTTCACTGCTGAGGTCTCAGGAGGCTGAGATGGGAGAATCATCTGAGCCTGGGAATTAAAGGCTGTAATGAGCTATGGTTGCACTAGCGCAATCCAGCCTGGGGGGCAGAGTGAGACCCTGTCTCTTAAAAAACCACAAAACAATACAAAACCAGAGTCTATCAGTGATTTCAGGAAGTGGGTGAATGGTGAAGGAAAGGAGGAGGAAGAGGGTTTTAAGCATCTGGAGTTGAGAACTGACCTGCTGACAAGTCTGTGACTGACTCTGTCTCCAACCTGAGCTTGACGAAAGAAGGTGGTATTCCAATGACGATAGTCGACAACAACAAGAACGTGTTTATTGGGTGTTTACTGTTCCAGGAACAGCACTAGGTGATTTTCATGCACCCTTTTATTTCTCACAGTAAGTCTACAAGCAACGTCCTATAGAATCCTTACTCTAGATGTGGCATACCCAAAGCTCTGAGAGATAACTACTTTGTCACCTGAAGTGTCACATGATGAGAATGTGGTAGAGCCAGGATTTGAACCTAAATCAGTCAACTTCAACACCTGTGCTCTGAAAAACTTCACCACTATTGTGAGTTCTGTGCCATCCCCCAATGGCCATAGTCACATAGAGATTCAACGTCCTCCTTTTCCCCTCCTTCCCCTGTATTTTCTCTCTTAAGCCTCCCCTCTTCAAGGTGGGAGTGTCTCATGAATCTAGAACATGTGTAAATTTGGTAAGCTTCATCTACCCCCAACAGCAGAGGACTTTTCTCTGATTTCTCTTCTTACCCAACACTTTGTCTGCTTGCCTTTCATTTATTGAGCAAATGCAAAGCATCTTCATTATCCAAATGTGATCCAAACTTCCCCAGCCTCACTGCCATCCTTTGAACTAGTCCATGAGCTGAATCACAGGGGCCTGGGTTAGCACACAACACCTATAAGGCAGCTCACTAAAATTAGTTAAATATAGAATGAATACCTTAGGAAGGGAACTCACATTGATTGAGTACAATGACATGCCAGTGCTGCTGGAGACTCATAATCTGTTAAGCCTCCCAACACTGCAGAGAGGAGGGGTTAACAACCTCATTTTTGAGGGTGGACAGCTGCCCAGAGCCACTCAACCAATAAGGAGCAAAGCCAGAATTTGAGGCCAGCCCTTCACAAGACCAGCTATTTTTTGCAACATCACTTGGTGAAATAACCGTTGTCTTGACAATAAAAGGCAGCAGACAGTGGGCTCTGGAGATGACTGAACAGGGAGTCAGGACACCTGCAGGGTTACCCTGGCTCAGCTGAGGCCTCCTTTCCTGACCACACACAGGTCCCTACCCTGCTCCGATCTTAGTATCTGTACTGCTGGGAGGAAAGGATTGACTCAGATAGGTGTCTTCCAGTATATGGGGTGTGGGCCTACAGAAGGACTTTAAGAAGTCAGAGTATTAATTAACATTGACAATCTCAGGAGAAAAAGACAATTCACTTTTATATTTCATGTCAGTTCTTCTCATTACCCCAAGAAGAACACCTGAGTGTGATTCATTCATTCATTCAACACATATTTTGAGAATGCCTACTGTGTGGCAAGCATATTCTAACAGGATTGAGGCAGTGAACTACACAGAAAAGGGCCTTGTTCTCATGGAGCTTGTATTCAGGAAGGTCAAGGGGAAGGCAGCAAGAAACAAACAAACAAGGTGTTACCAATAATGACATATGGCATGAAAGAATGAACATAGGATGAGGTACAAAAGGCAGGCTGGCTTGAGCTCAATATCCAATGATGCAATTGGAAGTGAGGAGATGGAGCAACCAGGAGGCCAAGATATTGGTTAGTGAAATCATACCCAGTGGGTGTGGGAGTTACCAAGAAAGGTACAGAATGAGGGGTGGGGAGGAAGAGAGTGAACCCCATTGTCGTCATCAGTGATGGAGGGGAATGAGCTGGGTGCTGGTTTAGGGGTGGCTGTGGATCTGTAAATGACTTAAGGAGGGTTGGCTGATGATCACATCATGACAGCATGAGCTTCATCACACTGGTGCCCTTGGAGGAATGAGAAAGACTGGAATGAAAAAGGCCAAGAGAGACATAAGGATCACACTGGCCACACTTCAGGCCTTGAAGTGTGCATAGTGTAAGAAGAAAAAGCAAAGCCCTACCTGAATAGCTGCAGGGGAACTGGGGGTGCCTGGGGTGGTGAACATAGAGAAGTACCACCCACATCCCCCACCAAGGGAAGACTTGCTGCCCTGCTGCTGGGGATGCTGTGAGTAGATCACCCCTGGCGACTGGTTTCTGCAGGAGAGCTGCTTCTCTCAAAGATGCAGAAGGCACGTTCAATGCCTCCCTCTGCCCCTTTCTGCCTCCTTCCACCTCTGACATGGGAGTCGTGATCCCTGATAAATATCCTGCACACCAAATTCCATTTCAGCAACTGCCTGCAGGGAACCCAACTTAGGACACTTAGGGATAACTGGGATTTGCTAAAGACAAGTGTTAAAGAAAAAATTATTGGTGATACTTGTTAAATATGCTAAGAAAGACTTTTTACAAAAAGCCTTTCTCCTTCAAAGGGATTTTGTTGTAAACAAGAGAGATCAGGCTCACCTTCCAATACAAGGAAAAGTGAAAATTCATAGATAGTCAAGAGGGTTAGGGTGGGGTGGGTGTTGATGGATGAAAATCACTATAACGAAACTTCAAGGGTAAACAGGGAATTCTGGCTAAATCTGCTAATCGGCTTTCTACTGAAGCCAGGCAAGACATCACCTGGATGATGGTGGAGATGAGAAACCTGAGCAGATATACAGTGGGATCAGATATTGATAGGGGAGGTTCTAGCTAAACTGACTCTGCAGGATTCTTGCTAAGATTGAGCTCCTGGGGGATGTGCTTAAGGCTGGGATCTGGTTGGGTTTGGAGGAGCCTGACTAAAGTTTGATCAAGAAGAGAACGTTTGTCGCAAGGAGAGAATTGTTGTCATAAGAAAAATCTCTGTCACTTTGAAGGAGATGTTCAGGGAAGAACTGGAAGACATGGGGGTGTTGACTGAAGACAAACTTCATTTCCACAGAGCACAGTGCTTTGGGAGGATGGGGCACAGCAGGTAATTAGCTCTGAGTAGAGGATGAGGATCCAGGGGATGATGCCCTTGGGAGCTCGAGCTTTGACAACAGAACATCTGTCAGGGTGCCTCAGAAAAATTTATCTTTAAATCCTTAATCAATACTGGCCTTCTCCATCAAACTTTTCAGCTTCCCACAGGTGGCTACGAGTCAAAAATGATTTTTTTTTTTTTTTTTTTTTTTTTTTTTTAAAGTATGTCTTACAGGAGCGATTTGGCGTTTGACCTTTACTGTCTTGTCTTTGGCTTTTAGGGTTTTAGTGATACAGAGAACTCCCTCTTTTTTTTCTTTTTGAGGCAGAGTTCCACTCTTGTTGCCCAGGCTGAAGTGCAGTGGCACGATCTTGGCTCACTCACTGCAACCTCCTTCTCCCGGGTTCAAGTGATTCTCCTGCCTCAGCCTCTGGAGTAGCTGAGATTACAGGCATCCACCAGCAGGCTTGGCTAATTTTTGTATTTTTAGTAGAGATGAGGTTTTACTATGTTGGCCAGGCTGATCTTGAGCTCCTGACCTCTGGTGATCTGCCTGCCTTAGCTTCTCAAAGTGCTGGGATTACAGATGTGAGCCACTGTGCCCGGCCAAGAACTCTTATTTATTTAGTTTATGTCATTTAATTCTTATAACAGCCTTATGAAGTAGATAATATTATTGCCATTATACAGATAGGGAAACTGAGGCTTAATGAAAAAGAATAAGTTACTCATACTCATGTAATTGGTGTATTTGGAATTCAAATTCAGTTTTAACTCCAGGATCAAGGTATTATCCTATGTCCTCTCATCACAGTGGTACAGTTTTTGGTCCTCATGGCAATAAGAACTCTAGTTCTGATTTTGGAGTAGGCATAGTCATAAAACCCAATATTATTAACTCACAGGCTTGTCACATGCCTCTTCCAGAGATCCCTGATCTGGCTTTGAGATCTTTCTTCCCTTGATGAGAATGTCTCTGTAATGGAGTGTATGCTTAGGAAAAGAGAGTAAGTTTCTGTCTGTTTTGTGTTCTATTTCTTACAGAGAAGTGCTGGGATGAAATTCTTTGTTGCCAGATTCTAGAACGATGTGGTGCTAGCTTGATTTAAAGTGCATGCCATCTGTTTTGTGTCTAAATGTCAAAACCATAACCTCTGACACTGAAATAAAAGAAAAAAATATTTACCTGATCCTTTGACCTGTAAAAGTACACTGCTTTCAGATTATAGTGTTAAGGACATTGATGCTTTCTTTTAAATTAATATAAAATATTTAAGTTGCAGTTGTCATTTGGGATCCTCTGCTTAAAAGGATGTAATGTCATTGCCTGGTTCTTTCTTTTTTATTTTTGGATACAATGTATGTGTATATATTTATGGGATACTTGTGAAATTTTGCTATATGCATGGAATGTGTGATGATCAAGTTAGGGGATTTAGGGCATCTAACACCTGCGTATTTATCATTTTTATGTTGGTTACATTTCCCCTTTTTTGGCTATTTTGGAAAACACAACATATTGTTCTTAACTATCATCACCCTACTCTGCTATCAAATATGAGAACTTATTCCTTTTGTCTAACTGTACGTTTGCACACATCAAGCAATCTCTCTTTATCCCCCCTCCACCCACACCCCATTCCCAGGTAGCTCTTACATATACACCCAGAGCAACTTACCTTTTCAACTTGAGTATAACCAATTTTTCCTTCGACAGGCAGTCTTAAATGCCTAAATTAACCCACATCCTGGCCATCAATATCTATTTTTAGTGAGAGTTAGTTGTTGGGAGAAAATGTGCCATTTGTGACTCGCTCTGACCTGGAAAATGAGGAGGGTGGCTCAGGCTGCTTTCACATCATTTCTCAAAAATATTCTTGACACATGTTGAGTGGAAATAGGACTGCCCAGAGAAAGGGTTACCTCAGTGGAAGATGCCGTGCAGGGAGGCTCATCTGATTTAGAACTTCTCCGGCCATCCAGGAGAGGGTTCAGAAGAAAAAAGAGGGCAGATTGGGAAAGGGGATTGGAGAGCTAAGATGCGGACTGGGAGCCCAGGAAACCCATCCTGCAGGAGGGGTCCAAGCCCCGGCAGAGGGGAGTTCATACCTACCAAGAGCAGATGAAAGCCGTGTTTGATTCCGGATCCTGGCTCTGCTGCTGGCCCTGGTGGCATTATTCATTTAGTGCCGTTCCATACTTCGCAGGAAAAGCACAGCAGGCTTATAATGCTTGAGTTTTTAAACATTCAGAGGCTGTGATGCTATAAATAAGCTTCTTGTGTCAGAGATTAAATCAACCAAGATGCCTGTCATGCCAACTTTATTTCTGAAACAACGTGTTTTCAACGGAAATCAAAATACATGTTAATCCTTCCCTTCTGACAGGCTAATACGAGCCTTGCAAATCACAGTGGAGAGCTACTGAGAGGACGTTAAGTAGCAGAAGCTATGTCTGTGCAGCTTATCTGTTGGAGAAGTCTGCGGCCATCCCTTGATTTGGAAGTCTTCTGCCTGGACTTGTGGCTTGGGACTGCAGAATCAGGATTGGGCTGGACTGTTTTGCTTTTTTTTTAAATCAGGAAAGACTTGGCTATTGTGTTTTGGATAAAACAATATGGAGGCTGTGTCTTTGAGATGACTAATAACAGGTTAGCAGACAGCCATCCAGTTCACCACCCATTCTCCTTTCTTTGGGAAGCAGCACCCTGATTTACTCTGATAAACCATCATCCTTCAATCACTCTTAATCCATGTGGTTCTGTGTGGGGGTCTCCATCCTCAGCCCCAAAGGCTGGGCTCTGGGCTAACCAATCAGAGCCATCCATCTCCTTCCTTGGCCATGGCAATTGGTTGCTAGGTTAGCCAATGACCAAAGTGGGATGATGGAGTGAATCTTGAATCTTGGCTGAAGAATCCTGAGAAGGGGAAGCTCCTTTTGCCCTGGGGTGGCTAGCATGGTGCTGCCAAATTTATCATTGTGACCTCATCACCTCAGATTGATGCCCACTCAGAGTAAAGTAGAGGTGAGGGACAGAGACAGATTTCTGATGCTATTGTTGGAGCACCTGGATAAAGCCCTGCTTGAAATTAGAAGCCCTCCTGGACTTGTTTACATGATTAGATTCTATCCTTTTCGATTGAGAATGAGCTGGCTTTCCATCACTTGAAATGGAAATAGTCCTGATTAATTCAGTGGTCCAGCTGGTGAATTCAGCCAACTGGTCAATTCTGTGACCAAAGGTATTTATAGATTTATCAACCGGTTGTTAGATTAGATTTACTCTAACTTAGTGAGATTGATGGTAGGGCAGCCCAGGGCTGACTCAACTCTAGTAAAGAGTGTGGCCATAGGATCCTCAACAGAGATGAAGACTGGCCCCGTAAAGCTGGGTATGGGGGCTGGTAAGCTTCAGCTGGAGGCTGTGCTTCTAGGGAGAAGTGGCCTCCCATCAGGGATCCTTAGCCTTCTGAGTACCTTTAAGGATGTGAGGAGGCTGCACCCCTGCTTCCTAGAGAGATTCACATGTGCTCTTTCCCACCAAGTTTTCCATGTAATTTTGGGTGGTTCACCAAATTGCAGAAACCAGCCATGGGCTCCTTGGGGATTCCAGATTATACAGTAGGAACTTGGACAGGTGACTCGCTTTTTATATCTTACAGGATCTCCCACGGATGCTACATACATGCTGGCTAAGGTTTTTGAGTACTTACCGTGTCTTAGCCACTACACTTGATATGTAGTATTAACTTACATTTTTACAATGACCCTGTTGGGTAGATGTTATTATTATTCTATCTTTACAAATGAATAATAGGAAAGATGAAAAAGTTAGGTGTCTTGCTCAAGGTCACCCAGTTTATAAATGAACAAAATTTAAATCTAAGTCTAGAAGACACAAGAGACCACATTCTAAATCACTTCAGTGACTTTAGAAATTACTAATGGATCACAGTGACTACCAGTCTGTAATAATTTGGATCCTTTCATCTAACTTAAATCCATCACGATGTAGTGTAAACCCATTGCTTCTTGTAAGTCACTTGAGATTACATTGGTGCCAATCTCAAAACAGTAAATTAGTATCTGAGACTCAGGCTCTTTATATGAGAAGCATGGTTAGTAAATTCTTATTTTGTATTTTCATTTTCTTTACGTTGTCAAATTTTTGAAAATTACAAAAGGAAAATGTGCTTATAAAAACGACACAGAAATGGAGAGCAGGAAGTGGGAACAGCATGAAAATTCCCCTCAGTGATTCCTCCTATGGGCATCTCACTTCCCAGAGGTAATTAGTTTTAAAACTTGGGTGTATAGACTCTCAAACGGTTTCCATGGATTTACAGTCTTCTTACAACATATGGAAAGGGTTTTACTTTTTTCATTTTTATTGAGGTATTACTGACAAGTAAAAATTGTATATACTGTAGGTGTGCAACTTGACGTTCTATTATACATATACATTGTGAAATAATCACCATAATAAAGTTAATTAACATATCCAGCACCTCACATAGTTACCATTTCTTTCCTTCCTTCCTCTTTCTTTTCTCATTTCTTCCTTCCTCTTTCTTTTCTCTCTTTCCGTTTCTCTCTTTCTTTCTTTCTCTTTCTTCTTTCTGGTGGGAACACTTAAGATCTACTCTCTTAGTAAATTTTAAGTATACAATACAGTATTGCTAACTATAATCACATTGCTTATACAGTTTATTTTAAAACAAAATAGAATCATATTTTGGCATCTTTCCACGTCCGGATACATATAGATCTACTATTGTGCTGCTGATAACTGTATTTAATCCAGAAATATGAGCCTATGTATTTAGTACTGTCATCCCCTGACTGATAGACATTTCAGTTGCCTTCATTTTTTAAAAAACATTATTATTTTAAATTCTGCTGCAGTGAATACACTTGTGTATATATCTTTGCCACAAGGCTAAATATTTCTATAAAACAGATCTCTAGAAGTAGAATTGCAGGGGCTAACACTTCTCTATTTTAAAGTAAATGCATCAGAGACCATTTTTAGCACCATTAAAGGGATTCCAGTGAAATATCCTAGAGCTTGTTAGGTTTGGCTATTTTTCCTGCGCTTAGGATCATTTGGGCATGGGGACAACATACCTTCTTGGTTGCGCTGGTTGTCACACTCCCGCTGGAGCCTCCTTTATATTCAAGAGCTCATCTGAGTCCCATCTTCCCTTGAGCAGTCCAGGGCTTATGTTCATTGTGGCAGATTTGGAGCCAGCTTCCCAGGCTGTGCACATCTCCCCTCTGAACACATGCTGCCCACCTGCAGACATCAGCTGGGGCTTGGAAACCTCTGCCCAACCTGCAGTGACGGGCTGTAACCTCAGTAACGCCTAAGGTCAAAGTCTGAAACCACTGTCTGTTAAGAGTACTTGGCATCCAGAAGAATGGTTGCCTGAAATGGAGAGGCTGAGGGCTTGCATCTTTGACAAAATCTCATTAATTGGTTCATTCCTTTAACAACTATTTTTTGAGCATCAACTATGAGTGCCAAGCACTGTGGCCGCAGTTAGAGATACCGCAGATCACTGAAAACACATGCGGCACCTCTTTTCATGAGAAGTCTAAAACATGGCAGTTAAGTATATTCTCCTCTCCTGTACAAGTCTGGTTTTATGTCTTGGAAACACTTTAAATGGAAAGTAGGTTTGACAAGGTATTTTAGAAGCCAGAATGAATCAACCCAAACTGGATGACGACAGACCTTCCTTAAAAACTGCAGTGGAGAGTTGGCAGGACATTGGGATTAAAAAAAAGAAATCAGATAATATTAATCATTTGTCCTCCGTCTCCCTTTCCTCCCTCCTGTGGTGTTGTTTCCTCTACCCCAGCTGAGTGAACCTCCTGGCACAGCTGATTGGACCAGGACTGAAGCCCTGACTTCCAGCTCAGACAATCAGCTTCTCTCCTAGGGAGTTGGTATTGTAACGTCATGACTCTGGTCAGATTTTTTAGGGCAGCTTAATTGGAAAGCATTACAAAGGTGGAACCCATGGTCAGATGGAGCAGAGAAGAATGAAGCAGAGAGGACCACACTGCAGAGAAAGTGAGAATGAAGCTGGGAGAGGGAAAGA